CCTCCTAACAGGCAATTTGTTTGTCTTTTCTAGAGACCTGGTTGTCATCCTCTGAGTTGATGGTGTTGGTCTAGTCATTCTGTCAAGTGATTCAGTAGGTGTAGTCATGCTCTCAACTGGTGGACTTACCATGGTCTCAGACACCATTGGTTGAACTTGAGTTGGGGGTGGAGGATAAGAACTATTCTTTCTGGGCCTTCCCTTTGATTTCTGTTCATAGAAAAGTTAATAAATCAGTACTCAAGAAAATGAATTTCATGAAAAAAGTTATGGAATTTTTTACCTTGGCAGGTTGTTCCACTTGAGGCAGGGTGCATGATTTCTTGTTGTGACCCTTTTAGAAACACCTTTGACAGGTCATAACTAACCCAAATCTTCTCAACTTGCTTCCACCTTTTGCTTCTTCCTCAGGAGCCCTTCTTCTCTTCTTTGGTCTTCCTGGCATCTTCTTGAAAGGAGGAGGCAAGATTGGATAGCCTTGTGCAGCAGGCCACATCTTTTTCCCATTTATGGGCTCCAATGAGTTGCTATACATCCTCAAATACCTCTCAGTAGTGAAAAACTCAGAAACATAGTCAGCAGGATCTTTATGCTGAAAGTGTATTGCTGAGCAAGCATGCACACAAGGAATTCCAGTTATATCCCACTGTCTACAAGTACAAGTATTATCCCTCAAATCCACCACTAACTGATCATCTTCTAATGCAACCTGAAATCTATCACCAACTGCAGGCTTTGTGACACAGAGTCTGGACAAATATTTATTCTGCTCTACCTTTGATCTTATTCTAGGACAAATCCTGTCAGGATGTCCACTCATGTCCATCAATTTACCATGTTGTCTGTTCATTAGTTCAGTCATTACAAATTCAAGCATCTCAATAATAGGTTTTCCTCTTCCCTTAACTATAAACCCATTAAAAGTCTCACTAACATTATTTTCTATCATATCACACCTAGGAAGAGGAGAAACAAATGCCTTACAAAACTTTGAGGGATCTCTGCCAATGAAGTCTTCATAAGCTTTTTTGCATTCTGCCTTCAAGTCTTCCAAAGCAATG